TTTTTATTCATGTCCTAAACAATAATTAATTATAAAGATATTTATAACTTCATTTTAAGTTCGTTATAAACTCGTTTCTTTCCCAATTTTAAAGTAAAAAGTAATCATTAGTTATTATACTATAAAAAAATATTAGTAATGTTTTTTTCATTACAAATTTTTTAGACCTCTTTGTTTATTCTCTGAGCAATAATTATGAAAATACTTATAATTTCATTTTTAATTTATTATAAATTCATTAAATTTCCAATTTCAAAGTAATTATTAATTATGAAACTATATATTCGATTTTTTTGCTTTGCCAGTTTGTTTTTTAATAATTAATCATTTGTTTTATGAATCAAGATTAGTGAATTTTATTTAATTCAATTTTTTAAGGTTTTTATTCATGTCCTAAACAACAATTAATTATAAAGATATTTATAACTTCATTTTAAGTTCGTTATAAACTCGTTTCTTTCCCAATTTCAAAGTAAAAAGTAATCATTAGTTATTGTATTATAAAAAAATAGTAGATTTTTTTTTCATTACAAATTTTGGTGTTTTTTACGTGATAAAAAATCTTTTGGATGATTTTTAAAGAAAAAATGCATTAGCAATTCGGTTTATCAATCACTTTAATGTTAATGAATTAATTTAATGAACGATTAATGAATTTGACATTTTTGAATTTTTTTTAAAGCTCTTTATTTACTTCGTAAGCAATAATTAATGTTGAGCATATTTATAATTCCATTTTTAACTCATTGAAGACTCATTTCGTTCCCAATTTCAAAGTAGAACGTCTTTAATTACCAAAAATGATTAATCAGTGAATCGAAATTGAGGACAAGTTCAGCAAAATTACAGTCGATTCATTAAACTTTGTATTTGTTAAATTCATTTGCTCGTATTAACACATTAAATTATTAATTTTTCTACTTCTTTCTTCATATAGAATTCCTCGTACATTATATTCGCTGACGAACATAATATATAATTCAAAATATGTAATTAATTTAGATAATAATATGTAATTAAAATTAATCAACTAAAAAATCGTAATTATTGCCAATGAAATTAACATGAACGACTTTTTTTAAATTCCATTTTTGCAAAAAAAAACTTTATATTTTTCATTCATGTGTTGCAGCCACGCATTGACCCGTTGGCGTTGCTCAACTGCCTGAGCGTTTTATTGGGCCCAAGTGGAGGTATCAAGGGGACGAAGGAGGTCGATCGTTTGGCCACACTTATGACCAAATTTTCAAAGAAACTAGTGTCCAAATGCATCTACATTCAAATATTGAAGACTACAAGTACTGATTTGCTCAACCAGTGAGTACAAAGACTATTAAATAAAAAATATTGTTATGCTTATTATTTTTTATTAACAATGCACATGAAATGAAAAATTGCCGGCACTTGGATTCGAACCCACGACAGCAATATTGTTATCAAATTACGTGAATGGGAGGAAACGTTGAAAAAATATTTTTTCCATTCAAAAAATTCAACATTAAAGACATTAAAGTTACGATTGAATTCAACAGCATGTTGAGACGTGTCGGTATTCTCCTCTGAGGTATTGATACGATAGAAATATTAAACATGCTAGATTAAACGGACTCTGAACCATTGGGCGATTCACTACAGGAGTCGAACTTACTGATATGTGTCCGACAGCTCTAAAATTTCAATTAATCCCAGTTTAGTTTTAATTGGATGTCTAAGGCCATTTCCCACTTGTCCTTGAGGGACTGGAGTCCATAAAAGTCAGGAATGAATTGATAAAAGCTGACGAAATCACCAGAATGTTCCTAATTTCTATTTATTTTCGGGGAATAATTGAAGTCAGATTTATTTTGATTGATTTTTCTGTAATTTCAGTGAAAAAAAATTATTTTCATAAAGTTTTCAACAGCATGGAATATTAGATTTCAATACTGTTGGGGTAAATATAAAGATTTCAAGTGAAGACTTGATTTTGAGGAAAAAATCATATTTTTTAATGAAAAAATACGAAAAATGCTAATTAAATTAAAATTCAATTTAATTAAAAATATGCTAAATCAGCTGGAACAATTATCATGACCATTCAGATTTATTACGGCTATAAAAATAATGATTATTGCAATGATTGTTGTAAAAAAACTTTTAGAAATCACATTTGAAAAATTGAAATGAACGAAAAAATCCCCCAAATAACATTTTCTCATCTGTTTTTTTAGTTTTACCAAAGTTTAATTAAAATAAGATGTTGAAGGTCATTCACCCCTCGCTGTCAAGACACTAGACCCTAAAAAAATCACTGACGAATTTAAAAAACTGATAAAATCAGAATCTAATGTTGAACGAAAGCTCAAATCAACATGAAGAAAAAAACATCAATTATTGACATTCAGTATCATCACATTTGTTATCATTAGGATAAGGATGAGGGTATAAGTGGGATTCCAACAATTGAAATTGTAGAAAATGCCCTGAATAATATTCTCTCATCCTCTTCTCAATTTAATTTCTCTTTAATTTACCGCAATTAAATTAAATTGCAATGTTCAAGGGCATACGGCCCTAGTTTCGAAAACACTAAACCCAAAAAAAATCATTCGCGAATTTACGAAAGCCAGGAAAATCCAGAATTGAACAAAAACCCAATTTAATCATGAAGAAACGATTAAATCCGAAAAAAAATGGTATCTGAACCTCTGAAATTGCTGCAGCAATCATTATAATTATTGAAGTTTATTATCGTTATATTTATCATCATTATTCTCATTACCTTTGTAAAAAAAATCCCAGATCATAAATGGGATTCCAACAACTAGAATTGCAAAAAATCCCCTAAATAACAATTTTCTCATCCTCTCCTGCAGATTTACCTCAATTTAATTGAAATCTGATGTTCAAGGACATGAAAATCTCGCTTTGATACCCTAGAACCTGAAATAAATCGTTCATGAATTTACAAACGCTAAAGAAATCAGAATCTAGTGTCGAAGAAAAGCTCAAATGAACATAAACATAAAATTAAAAAAAAATGCTATATTAAACCTCAAGAAACTGTCGCAACAACCATCACAATTAATGTTTTTAATTATCCTATTTCCCATCATTATTCTAATTATCATTATAAAAAACAAATGATAAATAGAATTTCATGAATTAAAATAGGAGAGTAGATTTAACTTTAACGGTTGCAACAATTACAGTTGAAGTTGATTATCATTATTTTAATTAACATTATAAAAAAAAATGAATGGAATTCCACCAATAGGATATCCAAGCACTTAAATATTTTTTCTCCAGTGAAATCCTTTTCTACTTTAGTAGTCGAACATCAGAGCTTTCATTTGACCACAAGTTTCCGATAATTTTATAATGATTTTATTATTTAAATGACATTTAAATAATAAAATATTGAACAATAGATATCAATAGGTTGAATAGATATCGAACCGTTAGAAAACATTTTAAAAATAGAAAAAAAAATTAGAAAGTTTACTTTTTAGAGGAAGATTGATGAAATAATTAAACAATTGCAATTTTTGAAAATTGCGGGTATTTTTTATGAATAATTTATATTCAATCAATTTTCCACCACAAAAATAATTTGTCCGGAATCCTGACAAATCTATTCCCATTCAGAATTTTACCAGAAATCGATTTAATGCCTGAAAAATAAGCTGTTCAAAAGTTTAAACAATTACAATCATTTATTTACAAACAACGAGTGTTCAAAAAAATAATAATTCAATGCAAAATGTAATTTCAATGCCGCTGAATACTCACGATATTTTACAAATTCTTCTCACGAAATTTAATTGACGAATTTGATAACTTAAAATGGTTGAATCTCTAGTCTGGTTTATATCAACCTCTAAAATGTGTTTAGATATCCTTAAAATGGAAGAGAACCCTCCAAAAAACCTTTCATGATCCTCTCTTCTAGATTCATCATCTCCAACTGTTGCAACAATCATCACAGTTCCCATAATTTTCGTTAGGATCCGACAATTTTTGAAAACCTCACAAAAAGATTCTCAAACTGATCGCCTCCATTTTCCCTTCACGTAAACATTCAAGGCCACTGCCAGCTTTCCCAACCGTAAGATCGCTACGCACCCACTTTACCCCCATTTTACTCTTTAGTACCATTAAGTTTTCACGCGTCAATAAAAATCCAATTTTCGTTATCATAAAAAAATCCCAAAAGTTAAAGCTGAAGACGACCCCCCAAATAACCCTGTGCCCTCGTTTTTTTTTTTTTTTTTTTTTTTTTTTTAACATAAATATTATTAAGACTCGAAACCTGCAGGTTCATGCAGTCATAAAAACAGATATATATCCTCTCTTCTAGTTGTTTTTTTTTTTTTTTTTTTTTTTTTTTTTTTTTTTTTTTCTAATAATATTATTATTAAGGCTCGCAACCTGCAGGTTCATGCAGCCATAAAAACAGATATATATATATGCTTACACAGACGCCTGAAAACATATATAATGAGTAATTCTTGGATCTTCTAGATTTATGAGCACAGGTGGTTGGGACCTGATTCACGTATGGCTGACGGACGCGATTCTCGCGAAGAACTGGGCGCTGATCCAGGAGCTGCTGGAGCTCCTGCTGCTGTGCCCAGTGGACATAGCCCGGCTGAAATCTAACAACAACCCAAAGCTGATAAAAGGCCTGTCGAAGGAGGGCGCCCACCAGGGTGTGAGGCTGCTGGCGTGTCGCCTGGTGGAGCAGTGGCTGAAGATAGTCAAGGACTCGGTGCCCACCCCAGTGGATCCCCAGCAGACGATGGCCCCCAGCCACGTGATCCCCAGCAGCCAGCACCTGGGGCTGAAGCCAGAGTCTGACGAGGCAAAACCCAAAGGAGAAGTCGAGGGTAACGACATATCAACAGTCAAAGTTCAGGATTTAGTGGCGCCTGAGGCCAGCACTCCACCAGTTGACCAGCAGCAGTCCCAATTACACGATAAAATATCCATACAACCTGTTCAATTACAAATTGTCAATAAAACACTACCGGGACAGACTCAACCGACGCAAATGAAAAAACAATCGTTCGTCGTTGTATCGAATCCATCACAGAATCCACCGTCTGTGCCAGTTTATAAGATAACGATACGCGATGGTAAACAAGTATTGACTAAAGTCGAGACTGATGCTGCTAATATACAAAGCGTTGTTAACGATAGCCCTAAGAATGTTGATAGTACTGATACTGTGGTTGATAACGATGTTGTTATGAAGAGTGAGTGCGATGATGGGGATGTCGAGGGGAGTGCATTAGAGGATACGAAGGACAGTGATGGGACAATGTCAATTAGCTTTAAGGAAGATAATGTAGATGCGAAGGATGTTAAAGATTGTAGTGATAGTAAGTCTAATGACAAGGAGAATAGGGACGAGCTGAAGAAGGAGGAGAAGACGGGGGTGGAGAAGAAGAGCCATCACAGCTCCAAGGGGTCGAAGCATGGCTCGAGCTCGAGGTCTAGCTCCCACAAGTCACATCGGTCTAGCTCCAGCAGCTCCAGGGGCTCTTCTGGCAAGTCTTCCAGGGACAAGGACAGGCATCATTCCAGCAGGCACTCCAGCAGCTCCAAGGGCAAGTCCGAGAGGGAGAGGGAGAGGGAGAAGGAGAAGATGAAGAAGGATCAGGCGGAGAAGGACAAGGCCACATTGGAGAAGGTCCAGGGACAGTCGTTGAGCACGAAATTCGGAAAGATTCCCAAGAAGAAGAGCGACGAGGAGAAGACGGACAGCTCTGTGAGGAAGTCCTCCACTGACTCCAGGGACAGCTCCAAGGAGAACAAGGACAAGACTGATCCCAAGAAGGGGCCGGTGCAGGGGGTTCTTGAGAAGAAGAATATTTCCATTTCTATTGAGAATAGGAAGAACTCGCTGGACTCCTCGCGGCCTAAGACTGTCAAGACTTTTAATTCGAAATTTAGGTCCACTGGGCTCGAGGAGGAGGTCAAACCACCTCCACCGAGGAATGCTGGGAAGAAACCCGCGGGGACCAGTGGGAATGATAAGAGGGTGGTTTTACCGCCTAAGGCTCCGTTGAAGAGGTCCTCACCTTTGAGGGAGACTGCTGTCTCGGATAAGAGGGCCAAGTTGGCCATCGATGCACCTGTGACCACCCTCGGGGAGGACAAGAAGGGGGCTATTAAACTTATTCCAGCTAAACCAAAACGTAAGTTGTTGTTCATGTTTATTTATTTATTATTATGGGATTTATCAGGGAAAAACACTTGGAAAATCAGTTTTTTGTGGTTTTGTTCTTCGAAATTTGGAGTTATCTCGATGCTGAGGGGTTCTATGGGGAAATGGCAGAGGACATTTTTTGTGGGGAATTTTATGAGCTACAAAAATGGTCTTGTGACGTTTTTTCGTGGAACCATTTGTTTTCGGGGTAAATCGAGGTTTAAGAACTAAATGTGAAAAATTGATTTTGGTGAATATCACATTTTTCTGGGGGGAAATGTTTACGAGATAAATTAGGGAATTAATTCTTTATAGTTGTAAAACATTGTCATCGTTGATTGTTGTTTAAATGCGGTCAAGGCGTTAATTAACTCTGCATTCACGATTAATAATTAAGAATTGAGTTTACAGATCGTTTCATGGGATGGAAGGACTCAAATTCCTGGACCAGCAAATTCCCATTCTCCAGCAATGTCCATTCATCATTTATATTCATTATTTATTCATTTCATTAACAACATTAACTTCTAGATTACACTCTCATTCTATTTATTTATTAATTGAGAATTCATCAGTAAAAGAAATGAAGAAAACAGTTTTTCTGGTTTTGTCTTATTAAATTAAAAATGGCATTATCTCGACGATGAAGGGATTTATCAGAAAATGGCATAAGACATTTTTTGTGGGAAATTTCATAAGCTACAAAAATGATCTTGTGACATTTTTCCGTAGAACCCTTTGTTGTCGAGATAAATCATGATTTAAGGAGAACGAAATTTGAAAAATTGATTTAATACGTTTTTTTCTTTTATTAAACATCAAATTATTCTAGGGGAAAATATTCACGAGATATATCAAGGACTTAATTCTTTATAATTGTAAAACATTGTCATCGTTAACTATTCTACAAATATGTCCAAAGGATTGATTAACTCTGCCTTCATGATTAATAATTAAGAATTGAGTTTACAGATCGTTTCATGGGATGGAAGGACTCAAATTCCTGGACCATCAAATTCCCATTCTCCAGCAATGTCCGTTCATCATTTATATTCACTATTTATTCATTCCATTAACGACATTAACTTTTAGATCACAGGCCCACAGTTCCTCATCCAAAAAGTGAAGAGGAATTTCGTTCAGGTAAATCAGTCAGTTTCGGGGAAGAGGGGGAATAGTGCTGTGAATAAATCATAATGCATTATATATCGATTCGGAAATGTATATAATGTCGAAAGAGAATTAAAGTAAGTGACACGAGAAGATAAATTGTGCATCGTCCAGATCATCGATAAGGATTAATGTATGTCGTCCGGGTAAGGCACCAAATACCATTCGTTAATACAAAAAAAAATACAAAAATTTCTCATTTTCTTTTGTACATGTACATTCCATGCCTGTATATACGTGTAGACTTACATATAGGTGTGAAAAAAATGAGGTAAAACAATAAATTTATCATAAAAGTATAAAAAAATAGTTGAACTCTTAAGTTCCCGCACTAGCCCATCAAAAAGTAAACTTAATTCGAGAAAAATTGATTCCATGATGGAAGGACTGATGGGGGAGCCAGCTTTCAAGAGTATGGAGGACATGGGGGACGTCTGCGAGGTACCAACAAGTAGTACAGACCAATCATTCGTTCCTTCGTTCAACTTTTTGATGATAAAATCGAGGCAAAATATCATGATATTATGTTTTCAATCCTCATGTTCGTGAGAGCAATATTTCTTCTTAATTCTTCTGAAGCTCTCGATTTAGAAGATCTAGGGTTAATGTTTTTGTAATGGAACTGTAGACTTGTGCTGGATTGTGATGAGTGCGAAAAAAATTTACAGAAAAACGGAACGAATTCGGTAGAAAATTTTATTGGACTTTCCATTAGTTTTTGGTTGATTCTGTTGAAAAATTGAGTAGCTCACCTGCGTTTTTTTCTATTAAAATGTTCAGTGAAAAATATGGTATAGAAGGCTATAGAATTGGATTTTTCTACACAACTTATTCTATTAAAATATTCTCTATAAGACTCATCGGCTCAAATTTTCCAAGTTTTCGGGGTTTTAAACGGAAAAGAGAAAAAAAATAGAAAATTCATGTTGGGAATTTCTATAGAAAATGTCTCGATAGAAAATATAGAATTCGATTTTTCTACACTAATAAAAATAGTGAATGAAATTCATCTCGAGGAATTGCCATCGAAGTTGTTAAACTAGAATAAATTTAATCAAAATATGAAATTCTCAATGTTTTCCATAAAACAAAAAAAAATCGAAGCTTTGAAATTCCCGGATAGAATTGTCCAAAAATTATAATTTCAGTAGAAAACTACAAAAATTTTCCACCGAATTCACCATTCGTTTTCCTGTGAAATTTAATCGCTCGTGAAACGAAACTGTAGAAGGCGAGGATGTTGTAAAATGGACACTTTAATGTTTAAAAAATATTTAAAATATCTCACAAACAGATTTATCAATCGAACTCTAGATCCTCCCAAGAGGATAAACTGCGCTTTTAAGGATATCCAAGTACTTTCGCTATTTTTTCTCCAGCCAAACGCTATCCTTTCATTTGAGCCCCATTTCACCCTAAGTTTCACAATGATTTTATTATTCTATTTCATTATGTTACGAATTTTACAATGATTTCATTATTTAAACTTCGCAAGTCTTAATTTGAATTTCGATATTGAGCCGTCAGAAAACATTTTAAATTACGAGCATTTTCCACCATAAAAATCATTTTTTCATAATTGTAAAAAAGTATTCATATTCAGAATTTTAGCAGAAGTCGATTTAATGCCTAAAAAATGAGCTTTCCGAAAGTTTAAACAATTTTAATTATTTATTTATAAACAATTTTATGATGCTGAATATTTGTGATTATTTTCAAATTTTTTTCATGCAATTTAATTGACAAATTTCATGATTGAAAATGGTTGAATCCATAGTTTGGACTGTACTAAACTGTAAAAAATATTGAACCGTGAGAAAACATTTTAAAAATCTGAAAAAGAAGAGAAAGTTTATTTTTACAAGAAGCTTGAAATAATTTAAAAATTGCAATTTTTGAAAATTACGAAAATTTTCGATAATTAATTTACAAACAATTTTCCAGCATAAAAATCATTCGTTCGGAGTCGCAACAAATGTATTCACATTCTGAATTTTACCAGAAGTCGATTTAACGCCTAAAAAATAAGCTTTCCGAAAGTTTAAACAATTCCAATTATTCATTCATAAACAATCAATTTCCCCCCACAAAAATCATAAATGCAGAATCCTAAAAAATTATTTAGCGCCTAAAAAAAAATTTCCTAAAGTTTAAACAACTCAAATCATTTATTCCAAAACAAACGTTCAAAAAATTGATAATTCTTTGCAAAATCCAATTTTAACGCCAGAATATCCCCAATTATATTCAAATTTCCTCCCGCAATTTACTTAACAAATTTCCTAATTACAAACAGTCAAATACTACATTTTCACCTAAACTGCCAGATACTTGGACATCCTTAATTAAAAAAATCACGTCCTCAAACCCCGCGAGTCCCTCCCCCTTCAAAAAACTCAAGTGTCCGTTTTACCCCGTCCCCTCGCTGCCCTCGCCGGGAGCTGAGCCCCAGCCCCCAAATCGCCCGATCAGTGGACCCGATCCAGAAGCCATCCTCCACGCAGGGGAGGAAACCCGCTATCCTCACCGCCAACAATATCTATAAATACCACCAGAGCGTTACGTCACGCATTCAGTAACACCCGGTCATAATAACAATGTAATGACCGTTATTGATCCAGGATTATGATGCATTTTATGGAATAAAAGCGACGACAATTGATTTATTTATGCACCCAATCCCCCAAATTCTCACATTGCGGACGAGGAATTGAAATAAAATTCCCTCAATTTCCCTTCCGCAATTTCCCGTCCTCTCGAAATAACTTTTATTCTTGCAGAGAACTGCGCGATATCGCGCGCGAAGATAACTATTCATGAAGCTATAGGCGTCTCTCGATACGATTCACAAGAAGAATTTTTTCCGCATTTGTTGCAACGAGGGAGTGCGTCAGATCGTTTATTTACTTGAATTTATCACTTATTTATTCCACAGCAGCAACGGATGTCCCTCGAGCCTCGGCGTTTGCATGCGCTATTGAGTCTGAAAGAGCGGAGATAATAAAGTTCAACCGATGACAATGTTTTATGCTTTAATTTGTATTGAAGAGGTCTGGATCTGGGAACAGGGGATTTAAAGTATTGTCTGACGTATGTTGTAGCCATGGTTCTTCAGGAGAGCGACATGTTCATGGACGCTTTAACGGCTTCTACGAAGAGCAAAGAGCCGAGAAAACGAAAGAGGCGGAGCTCGCTGTCCAAGGATGATAAGGCGGATGGCAAGAAGACGGACGCTAATTCGATGGACGCCAAGGAGACAACACCACCGCCGTCAGCCTCGCCAACGGGGGCCGACGAACGCTCGCCGATATCGATAAAGCCTGACTTCAAAGTAAATATCTTCATCTTAAAGAAGAGAATAAAACGAGCCCTTTTGAATTCCCTCGAATTTCCCAGAAACTCCCTGAATTTTCTCGAAAATTCCAGAAACTTCTCGAGTTACCTCAAACCGTCTAGAATTTCCTAGAATTCCAATAGACGGCGCTGCACATAAGGACCGTCTCCCAAAATGCCCCCCACATTGAAACCATAGACTTATCCACGTCAAAAATTGAAATTCCTCGTGCTATGAAAGACCATTGCCCTAATAACGAGGACAAGGAGAAGTCTTTCCTTCTTTCTCGAATGTCTCGGAAACTCTTCCATTCCCTCGAATTCCCTAGAAACTCCTTGAATTCCCTGGAATTTCCCAGAAACTCCTTGAATTCCCTGGAATTTCCCAGAAACTCCTTGAATTCCCTCGAATTTCCCAGAAACTCCCTGAATTTTCTCGAAAATTCCAGAAACTTCTCGAGTTACCTCAAACCGTCTAGAATTTCCTAGAATTCCAGTAGACGGCGCTGCACATAAGGACCGTCTCCCAAAATGCCCCCCACATTGAAACCATAAACATATCCACGTCAAAAATCGAAATTCCTCGTGCTATGAAAGACCGTCGCCCCTAATAACGAGGACAAGGAGAAGTCTTTCCTTCTTTCTCGAATGTCTCGGAAACTCTTGCATTCCCTCGAATTCCCTAGAAACTCCTTGAATTCCCTGGAATTTCCCAGAAACTCCTTGAATTCCCTGGAATTTCCCAGAAACTCCTTGAATTCCCTCGAATTTCCCAGAAACTCCCTGAATTTTCTCGAAAATTCCAGAAACTTCTCGAGTTACCTCAAACCGTCTAGAATTTCCTAGAATTCCAGTAGACGGCGCTGCACATAAGGACCGTCTCCCAAAATGCCCCCCACATTGAAACCATAAACATATCCACGTCAAAAATCGAAATTCCTCGTGCTATGAAAGACCGTCGCCCCTAATAACGAGGACAAGGAGAAGTCTTTCCTTCTTTCTCGAATGTCTCGGAAACTCTTGCATTCCCTCGAATTCCCTAGAAACTCCTTGAATTCCCTGGAATTTCCCAGAAACTCCTTGAATTCCCTGGAATTTCCCAGAAACTCCTTGAATTCCCTCGAATTTCCCAGAAACTCCCTGAATTTTCTCGAAAATTCCAGAAACTTCTCGAGTTACCTCAAACCGTCTAGAATTTCCTAGAATTCCAGTAGACGGCGCTGCACATAAGGACCGTCTCCCAAAATGCCCCCCACATTGAAACCATAGACATATCCACGTCAAAAATCGAAATTCCTCGTGCTATGAAAGACCGTCGCCCCTAATAACGAGGACAAGGAGAAGTCTTTCCTTCTTTCTCGAATGTCTCGGAAACTCTTGCATTCCCTCGAATTCCCTAGAAACTCCTTGAATTCCCTGGAATTTCCCAGAAACTCCTTGAATTCCCTGGAATTTCCCAGAAACTCCTTGAATTCCCTCGAATTTCCCAGAAACTCCCTGAATTTTCTCGAAAATTCCAGAAACTTCTCGAGTTACCTCAAACCGTCTAGAATTTCCTAGAATTCCAGTAGACGGCGCTGCACATAAGGACCGTCTCCCAAAATGCCCCCCACATTGAAACCATAGACATATCCACCCTCAGACCCTCTTCCCTTTCAGTTCTATCAAGACACGTTGGCGACCGACGAGGACAAGGAGAAGTCTTTCCTTCTTTCTCGAATGTCTCGGAAACACTTGTATTCCCTCGAATTCCCGAGAAACTGTGAATTCCCTCGAATTCCCTAGAAACTGTGAATTCCATCGAATTCCCTAGAAACTCTGTGAATTCCCTAGAAACTCCTTGAATTCCCTGGAATTTCCCAGAAACTCCTTGAATTCCCTCGAATTCCCTAGAAACTCTGTGAATTCCCTAGAAACTCCTTGAATTCCCTGGAATTTCCCAGAAACTCCTTGAATTCCCTCGAATTCCCTAGAAACTGTGAATTCCCTCGAATTCCCTAGAACTCCTTGAATTCCCTGGAATTTCCCAGAAACTCCTTGAATTCCCTCGAATTTCCCAGAAACTCATTGAATTCTCTCGAATTCCCTAGAAACTCCTTGAATTCCCTGGAATTTCCCAGAAACTCCCTGAATTTTCTCGAAAATTCCAGAAACTTCTCGAGTTACCTCAAACCGTCTAGAATTTCCTAGAATTCCAATAGACGGCGCTGCACATAAGGACCGTCTCCCAAAATGCCCCCCACATTGAAACCATAGAAATATCCACGTCAAAAATCGAAATTCCTCGTGCTATGAAAGACCGTCGCCCTAATAACGAGGACAAGGAGAAGTCTTTCCTTCTTTCTCGAATGTCTCGGAAACTCTTCCATTCCCTCGAATTTCCTAGAAACTCCTTGAATTCCCTGGAATTTCCCAGAAACTCCTTGAATTCCCTGGAATTTCCCAGAAACTCCTTGAATTCCCTCGAATTTCCCAGAAACTCATTGAATTCTCTCGAATTCCCTAGAAACTCCTTGAATTCCCTGGAATTTCCCAGAAACTCCCTGAATTTTCTCGAAAATTCCAGAAACTTCTCGAGTTACCTCAAACCGTCTAGAATTTCCTAGAATTCCAATAGACGGCGCTGCACATAAGGACCGTCTCCCAAAATGCCCCCCACATTGAAACCATAGACATATCCACGTCAAAAATCGAAATTCCTCGTGCTATGAAAGACCGTCGCCCTAATAACGAGGACAAGGAGAAGTCTTTCCTTCTTTCTCGAATGTCTCGGAAACTCTTCCATTCCCTCGAATTTCCTAGAAACTTCTTGAATTCCCTCGAATTCCCTAGAAACTCCTTGAATTCCCTGGAATTTCCCAGAAACTCCTTGAATTCCCTCGAATTTCCCAGAAACTCCCTGAATTTTCTCGAAAATTCCAGAAACTTCTCGAAGAAACCTCTATACTCAGAAACTTCTTGAAGAAAACTCTATGAGTTTCTAGGTAATTCGAGGGAATTCAAGGAGTTTCTAGGGAATTCGAGGGAATGCAAGAAGGAAAGACTTCTCGATTACCTCAAGCCGTCTAGAATTTCCTAGAATTCCAGTAGACGGCGCTGCACCATTGCATATCCTCGTGCTATGAAAGACCGTCGCCCCTAATCGCGCCCCTCTTCCCTTACAGTTCTACCAAGACACGTTGGAGACCGACGAGGACAAGGAGGTCAAGGAGAAGGACTCCCCGGACTCCGAGAAGGATGAAGACCCCAAAGAGCCGCTCCGCCCGGAGAGTCTCGACGAGGACGAGGGCAGCCGCACGCCGACCAACGAAGAAGAGGTGGAGGACCCGAAGGCCCCGGCGTCCCCGGACGACCCGGAGGACCTCCCGCGGGCGCCCTCCAGCCCCAACCCGGAGATCCGCTACGTCGACGGCCTGCGCAGTGTTCTCCTCCTGCAGAAGCGCAAGGGCCCCAAGAAGAACCTCAAATGGAAGGAGGACCTGGAGTCGGTGAGGTACTTCGAGCTCGACGAGACGGAGCGCGTGAACGTCACGAAGACCTTCACCGACATGAAGCAGATGGAGAAGCAGGGGGAGAGGGAGGCCTTCCAGATGGCGCGGAAGCTCAACACCGAGGACGTGATGGAGGAGAAGACCCGGTGGCGGCTGCTCATCCCCATCGACCTACCCCCACCCCTGGTGGAGCCCGGGAAGGAGTCCAAGGAGAAGGACATCCAGTACGCGAGGGAGAAGGGCATCCTCCAGGCGTTGTACTTCAACCGGGGAATGATACCCGACTCCGCGGCCGAACCCGACGACGAGAGGCACCACGTCCCGGTGGACCCCAAGGTCATACCCCTGGACGATCTCACGGGGAACAAGGAGAGCGAAAAAGACTTCACGATGGTTCCCTGGCCGGAGCCGAAGCCCTCGCTGATCCCCCCGCCACCGCCGGTTGTCCCCAGTGTCTATCATCAGGGCTACACCCATCCCCAGGGGATGGGCCTGCCCCAGGGGATGCCACCGCCCCAGATGCCCATGCCCATGGGCCAGCCTGTACCCCCGGGCATGATGGGGATGAACCACATCGTTCCGGACGTCAGCGCCGGCGGCTGGAGGACTGGAGATGGCAAAGTTGTGGTGCCTGATGTCAACATTCCTGGCATGAACAACATGACGAATATCACGGGATTCCCACCACCCAACATGATGCCTCCACCGGGGATGTTTAATCATCAGGGGCATCATCCTGGCCATCAGAATCCTGAGGGCTTCCCGCCCATGATGATGGAGGAGGGGAACTTCGTGGGGCACATGCCCAATAATTTTCAGGGACCAGCCATGTTTGGGCCGGGGCCCAATTTCCAGGGACCACCGCCCAGGCCTGGCATGCGGGGGAGGGGGGGGCCCGGCTGGTTCAGGGGGGGCATGGGACCCATGAGGGGGGGGTGGCCGGCGAGGGGGAACTGGAGGGGGGGCAAACAACCACCGGTTTGCAGGCAGTTCAGCAAGAATGGCTTCTGCAGGGTTGGGGACAAGTGCCAGTATCTTCATCCTGGGGTTAATTGTCCACCTTTTTGAGGGGGGGCGGGGGTGGGCGGAGGGGTGGTATGAAACCACTCGGTTTTAAGGTTTTTTTGGGGTGGGGTCGAGGGCTCTTCCGCGGGGAGAAATGTATGGAAATTGTATTTTGGGGGGGGGNAGTCGGTGAGGTACTTCGAGCTCGACGAGACGGAGCGCGTGAACGTCACGAAGACCTTCACCGACATGAAGCAGATGGAGAAGCAGGGGGAGAGGGAGGCCTTCCAGATGGCGCGGAAGCTCAACACCGAGGACGTGATGGAGGAGAAGACCCGGTGGCGGCTGCTCATCCCCATCGACCTACCCCCACCCCTGGTGGAGCCCGGGAAGGAGTCCAAGGAGAAGGACATCCAGTACGCGAGGGAGAAGGGCATCCTCCAGGCGTTGTACTTCAACCGGGGAATGATACCCGACTCCGCGGCCGAACCCGACGACGAGAGGCACCACGTCCCGGTGGACCCCAAGGTCATACCCCTGGACGATCTCACGGGGAACAAGGAGAGCGAAAAAGACTTCACGATGGTTCCCTGGCCGGAGCCGAAGCCCTCGCTGATCCCCCCGCCACCGCCGGTTGTCCCCAGTGTCTATCATCAGGGCTACACCCATCCCCAGGGGATGGGCCTGCCCCAGGGGATGCCACCGCCCCAGATGCCCATGCCCATGGGCCAGCCTGTACCCCCGGGCATGATGGGGATGAACCACATCGTTCCGGACGTCAGCGCCGGCGGCTGGAGGACTGGAGATGGCAAAGTCGTGGTGCCTGATGTCAACATTCCTGGCATGAACAACATGACGAATATCACGGGATTCCCACCACCCAACATGATGCCTCCACCGGGGATGTTTAATCATCAGGGGCATCATCCTGGCCATCAGAATCCTGAGGGCTTCCCGCCCATGATGATGGAGGAGGGGAACTTCGTGGGGCACATGCCCAATAATTTTCAGGGACCAGCCATGTTTGGGCCGGGGCCCAATTTCCAGGGACCACCGCCCAGGCCTGGCATGCGGGGGAGGGGGGGGCCCGGCTGGTTCAGGGGGGGCATGGGACCCATGAGGGGGGGGTGGCCGGCGAGGGGGAACTGGAGGGGGGGCAAACAACCACCGGTTTGCAGGCAGTTCAGCAAGAATGGCTTCTGCAGGGTTGGGGACAAGTGCCAGTATCTTCATCCTGGGGTTAATTGTCCACCTTTTTGAGGGGGGGCGGGGGTGGGCGGAGGGGTGGTATGAAACCACTCGGTTTTAAGGTTTTTTTGGGGTGGGGTCGAGGGCTCTTCCGCGGGGAGAAATGTATGGAAATTGTATTTTGGGGGGGGGGCGTGGATTCTCAGACGAAAGGGATGATAAAATCGCGGAGATTGCTTGTCATATTTGCTCATTTGGGGAGATTGGGAGAAACGAGTTTGAAGTGATTTGAGTGAGGGGAATAATTTTTAGAGATGGTTGAAAACACGAGGTGGCTGACAGATGCGGGCGCCATCTTGTTTGGAGATTATTATAAAGATGGCGGCGCTCGCGCCTCGTATTTTTTAAAATTCTTTGAGATCGGTGAATGGGAATGAAAAAATATGGAGGATTGTTTGAGAAATTTATTCCCTTTCTGAAAAATGGGTAGGACGATTACAAGGTGATCTGAAGAGGATGAATAATTTTAAGAGATGTTTGAAAATACGAGGTGGCTGACACATGTGGACGCCATCTTGTTTGGGTACGCCTTCAAAAATGGCGGTGCTTGCACCTCGTATTTTTAAGAATTCCATAAAATTATTGAAAAAGAGATGAAAAATATTGAGAGTAACTTGAAAAATTTGTTCCCTTCCAAGGAACTGGATAAATCAACTCGAAGATAATCTGAAGGAAATAAATAATTTCAACAGGTGTTTGAAAATGCGAGGTGGTTTCCCGACTTATGCGCCATTTTGTGTAGATACCCCTTCAAAGATGTCGCCCCCATCACCCCGTATTTTCAAACATTCTTAAAAATGATTAAAAAGGAATGAAAAATCATGAAGAAAAGTTTGAAAAATTCGCTCCTTTTATAGAAACTAAATACACTGCGTTGAACATTATCCAAAGAGGATAAATAATTTTAATAAATGTTCGAAAACGCGAGGTGGTCGCCAGCCGTGGGCGCCACCATCTTGTTTCACCCCCTATGACTGAGAATTCACGCTTGAATGATTGATATCTCATGAACAAATGATACGATTTGAATAACTCAAATGTCTGGAAAAATATCTTCAAAATGAAAAAAAAATGATGATTAACACGAATAATTTGAAATACATTTTGATACATTTCTTTTCCACGTGGATTGGGTTCAATAATCGTGCAATCAGAGGTGGAGATTATTGTTGGGGTGTTGATAATGCGTTCTGTGATAGAGTTTTTGCCTCGCCGGGTCTACTGCCTCCCAGAGAATATTAAGACGATGTTTCCAAGAAATGTCGCTCCATGCATCAATTTTTTAAATATGTACATAAGATGATGCACTGTATATAGAAGTAAGATAAGAGACGGTTATCAGAGTCTACTTCCATGAGACTGTTATTTTAGGGACTAGGGGACAACTGAGGGAATTGTAAAGCACTGCTGTCACTTTGCGTTGATGAATGCCATGGATCGAGGGAGAATTATAATATCAATGAGTAATTTATTCCTATTAAGCTGAAACATGGGTTTATTGATGTAGTGATTTGTAACTTATGTGTGTATAGTTTGTGGTAAATCCTATGTTGGTAAATTTATTACAAAACAGCAGGCGTTATGCTGATATTAACGTAATTAACGTATGGACATTATGTTGTTGGTAGACGACAATGCTTGATTGATGAAATACATTGATAATTATTTTTCAATTGGTTTTTACGTCTTTTATTGTTGGAATCCAGCAAAATGGACACTTCAGACATTTCTTTGAATATTCATAACTCAGAGATAAATTCACTGTCAGAGCTCATTGCAAATAGTTGTTATTTATTGACAATTAAATGAAGTTCTAAAATTTGGAAAATAGTATGAAGTGCCCATTTTGCCCCCTCGGCCCCTTTTTTCCAAATTTTTGACATTTTTTTATTGAATGGAATAGTTTTAGCTGAAAATGTTATTAATGATTATTTTATAATGAGACTTTTTAAACAGTCGAAAAAATCCAAACTGAACATTTTTTTTCATTTTGTTAATTTTGAATTACTTTTGACCAAATGATACGATTTTAATAAGTTTGTGCTCATTTGAAAGCTTGGAACATATCTTGAAACAGTCTCAAAATTTTTTAGATTCCACTCAGACATTCTCGAGTTATTGACGATTATTTTAGAATGACTTTTCAAACATTTGAAAAAATGCAAATATTGAACGTTGTTTTTTCATTTTCTAAATTTGGAATAACTCCGGACCAAATGATCCGATTTTAACGCGTCTGCGTTCATTTCAAAGCTCAAAAAAATGTCTTCAAAAAGTCTCAGAACGTTTTCAATTCTACTCAACCATTCCCAGGGAATTATAGGATATTACTTAATCATCTTGTGATCGAATGATATAATTCTAGTAAATCTGTCTCGAAAAAGTCATGAAGTCATCGAATCTCCCTGCCCCACCTCAGTAAGGTCTCGAATATTTCCTCTGACTCATGTGATGCCTTCCGTGTCTGTCACTCCTGTCATTCCTCTCGTACCTGTCGTTGTTCCTCCTGTCCCTGTTATCCCAGTCTCTGCGTTTTCCCTGGCGCCAATCGAACTGTGGCCTCCTCGGTTTATTGTACCAGGGATCGACAATCGGTGGCTTCGCTCTCTCCGTATTCATGTACTTCACAAATTCTGCGTCATCGTCCGTGTAACGATATTTGAACTCCTCCTCGGAGCTCTCGAGGAAGCTCTCCTGCTCCTCCGACAGAAACTGCTTCCCCATTTTATTTTATTTGTTCAACAATGGAAAGCGCTGATCCTGAGGAATGTCATTGCCACATTATTATAATTATGCTCATGATTAATTGCTCGTTATTGTTGTTATTGTTATGACTACAGACCGATAAGCGAAGGCTAGTTCCAGCTGCGTGTGCTCGATATGACATCGATTCTTACTTATTTCGATACTTATTTGGGTCGATATATTGGAGGAATCGATCTCGTGCCTATATCGATATTTAATCGAAAATGATTTTTATATCGATATCGATTTTTATATCGATATTTAATCGAAAATGATTTTTAATTTTTTTTTGTTCTTTTTTTTTGTAAAATAAAAAAAAAAGATTTTTTACGTTTTTTAAAATTATTCTACATATCGATGTTTTCGATATCGATTCTGCATGCGATAATTTTTATCGATACTTCTTCGACTTATCGACTCAAAGCGGCGATGTTCACACATCGACGTTTTGAGTATCGACATCACGAGCGCCGACGTTGATCGATACTTTCGCGAATTGTCGACCAGCGGTCACGCCGTAACTCGTTACACTTCGGTAATCCTCGTAGCATTATCTCTCCCTCTCGGCATCGCTCGTCCCCTGCAGCACAAGTTCGTAGTTAGCTGTTAGGATAACAGACCAGAGACACGACTGAGGGGAATCAAAACTTTTGTCTGCCATTTTAGAACAAATCAGCGGTACATGGACAGCTCGCCGAGAGCTTTAAGCCATTGAATAGTGTTACGCGAATTAGGTTTAACGTTTTCCAGTTGCCTTGAGGGTTATTCCTAGGGTGAGGTGGCAGTTCCAGGGTTTGCGGTATCGAAAGACTCGTGAGAATTATCGTCTGGAGAAGATGAAGCTACTGACGACTGCAGTTTTCCTCTGCTCGGCGATGCTCCTCGTTTCTGGTAAATTATTTTTCATATTTACGGGGCTCTTGGGGCCAGAAGGGCGCACGAAATGGCGCACGTTCATTGTTGGAGACGAGAAAGCAAATCCAATGAAATTGAATCGAGGGGAATTCGGGGGCTTTTTATTTGCGAGGAATTGAAGGTTAAATTCATCGCAAATGCAGTGACATGGCGATTATTTAGAGATTTTGCAATTGTCGGGGAGTCGATCCCTTGGGAGGCTCGGAAAATACAGGGGCAGGGGCTTGGAACTGGTTTTCGAGTGATAACAGGAGCTGAAGCTATGATTCATCCCATTGGCTCAACCGTTTTTTCATTCACGCATTCGCGAATGTTCGAAGGTTTTTGTAAACTTGTTGGAGGCTTCATAGCACCGATAATTTTTAGATAATGGCGGTGACGGTTCTAGAAAATAGCGACGGATGCAAAACTTTCCGGTGATGGAGATTTTTTTTTTCGTGGGAGTCTGGGGGAAATTAATTAATTGCACATGAGGAAAATTTTGAGAGAATTGGCTTCGATGGTTGGGGAGGGGTGGGGTTGGGAGTCTTTGTTTTTGGGGCCAGCGAGAGGTGACGGGGGAGGAACATTTTTTGAATTTTTGTCTATTCGAGTTTTTGCAATTGTCGGATTTTGCGATTGCTAAATATAGTTTTCGGAATGTTTCGGCGAATGTGGGTTATCTGGCGAGGAAATGATGCGATTGGGGTGAGTCACATGCAGTTTTGAAGATTATGAAAAAACCTTCGAAATGAAAGCAAAGTCGGGGAATTTGACTCTGCGATTCCCGAGATATTTTAGATTGAATGATACGACTTTTACGAAATGCAGAATTTGTCGTTTTAATTGGGATTTTATTCAATACTGAATATTTCCTGACGAAATGATGGGATTGGGGTGAGTCACATCCCGTTTTGAAGATTATGAAAAAACCTTCAAAATGAGAGCAAAGTCGGGGAATTTGACTCTGCGGTTCCCGAGATATTTCAGATTGAATGATACGACTTTTACGAAATGCAAATTTGTCGTTTTAATTGGGATTTTATTCAATACTGAATATTTCCTGACGAAATGATGGGATTGGGGTGAATGACCTCTCATTTTAAAGATAGTTAAAACCCCTTCAAAAAGAAAGAAAAAATGTCGAATTCGCCTCTGCCAGTTCCGAGTTACTCCCAATTGAATGTCGTAAATTCCTAAGGAAAAGGGAAATTTCAATCATCTCTGGACACTGTTGAATTCCAGGTGATGGATCAGACGTCAAAGTACCACCAGAACCGATAACTACCTCTCCTGCCCCACTCACCACGACAAAACCTCCCACAACCACAACTCCCACGACAACCACTACAGCAAAAACTACGACACCGGCGACAACAACTACTCCAAAACCAACTACAACAACTCCAAAAACGACGACAACAGCACCACCAGACACAACGACAGTAGCTCCGAATACAACAACCGTTGCTCCCACGACGACGTCGGCTCCACCGACCCCAGCACCAGATCCAAAACCAGGAAAATGGGTGGTCAATGGAACAAACACAACGTGCATTGTTCTTCGTATGGCTGCACAGTTTAATGTTACGTATGTGAATGCTGATAACAAGGTAAATACGAGACACGTTCTGGCGATATGAAGCAAAGTCTTCGGTTTCAGATTTATTCAGAAGTGATAAGAGTCCTTTGTTTGAATTTTTTTTTGTTTGGAGAATTTTTTTTTTTTATTTTGGGGGTTTAGCAGTTTCTGGTGTTTTTTTTATTGTTTTGAGGAGTTTTAATTAATTTTTAATGAAGTTTGTTTTTGTTTTTAATTGATTTTTTATAGAATTTTGGGGTTTATTAGTTTGTCATGTTTTTTTAATAGTTTTGGGGAGTTTTAATTAATTTTTAATCGAGTTTGTTTTTGTTTTTAATTGATTTTTTATAGAATTTTGGGGGTTTGTTAGTTTGTGATGTTTTTTTAATAGTTTTGAGGAGTTTTAATTAATTTTTAATCGAGTTTGTTTCTGTTTTTGATTAAGTTTTTATATAATTTTGGGGGTTTGTTAGTTTGTGATGTTTTTTTAATAGTTTTGAGAAGTTTTAATTAATTTTAAATCGAGTTTGTTTTTGTTTTTGATTAATTTTTTATATAATTTTGGGGGTTTGTTAGTTTGTGATGTTTTTTTTAATAGTTTTGAGGAGGTTGAATTAATTTTAAATCGAGTTTGTTTTTGTTTTTGATGAATTTTTTATATAATTTTGGGGGTTTGTTA